GGATCTCCTTGGAGAGATAAAATTTCACTTGCCATTTTGGAGCTACAAGAAAAAGGTATTATTCAAATATTATATGATAAATGGTGGAAAAATACGGGTGACGTTTGCAACAGAGATGATAAGAGCAAGGAGTCCAAGGCCAATGCACTGGGAGTAGAAAATATTGGTAAGATTTGTTATGATTTTTAATATAAAAGAGTGTTCAATGTGGTATTTTAGGTGGAGTATTTGTTGTTCTTCTCTGTGGACTTGCTCTTGCCGTTGTCGTGGCTATATTTGAGTTTTGCTGGAACTCCAGAAAAAATTTAAATACCGAAAATCAATCTCTGTGCTCAGAAATGGCACAAGAACTTCGTTTTGCAATGCACTGCCACGGATCAAAATCAAAGCATAGACCACGAAAACGGAATTGCTTAAAATGCTCATCTGGACCAACATACGTTCCGAGTAATATGAGTATGCCAAATGTCGGCGTTCACTATAATTATTTTAATTAATTTGGATTCTGCTGACACATGTTAATTGAAATAAATAGTGAAATTGAATTATTTTTTTATTTGTACATTTTAAAATAAAATTAAACTTAAGTATTAAATCGTAATTTGATACATTTTAAAACATCCTTACGCGTTTGAGATTCGTCATATTTCTCTTTCAGAACTTTGATCTAGTGACTGTTAGGGGCTGTCCATATATTCGTAAATTATCAGAAAAACTATAATTACGTAATATATAGACAGCCCCTTAAGGATCTTTACAGTCATGCTGTAAACAGCTCCAGCAAACGTCTTTCGGCAGCGACAGTTTGTGCCATTTGTAAACGGTACACAGAGAGGAAAACCCAAGAACATTGTGCTTGAATCGTTCTTAAAAACCTTGTAAGTACAAATGTTCTTCTTTTGAGCTGAATGTTCAAGAACGAAGTGGTAGGAACTACAAAAGTAAAATGAGCTGATTTCGTTCCATTTTTAAGATAATTTTGGTCTTAATTTAAGAACGTATTTGGATCAAATGGTATACAAATAAGTTCTTTTATTCTATTTTCCAGAACGTTTTGGTATTAATATGATAACATTTTGTGATTGATTTTATCTAGTTTTTGGATCAAAAGAAAAACATTTGAAATTATTTTGTATTAAGTTGGTGATAGGAATTTAATATTTGCTTAAGATTATGGTATATATGTATATGTACATGTTTGTAACTATTTAAATGTTAAGTATTGTAATAAAGTAAGGGTGCGCTGAACATAAAAGAATGAATGTGAAAGTAATAATTTTTTTATGATTTTCTGACAATTATAAATGTTTTTGTTTTCATGTGCTTATACTTACACAGTTGGATTGGATCTACATCGGAAACTTGGTGGTACTTGTAATGATGTAAAAGTATATTCCACTTAAATTTCGGCCAGAAGAAGAGCATTTTCAGATTAGTACTACAGAAAACAACATATTAGAGGGGGGCTCAAAAATTGAGGTCCCGACCGAAACAATCACTTTAATTTACGTTTAGTCTGCTTCTCTGAAATGTATTTCAGATAAATACAGCTACAAATACTGTAATACTGTTACCGAAGCCGGGAAAAGGCCTTGCAATTCCTTCTTCTGTCCAAATTTATGGAAAAATGCATTTTAACGCGCATTATGTTATAACTAGAAGTTCACAATGTAGTCCCGGTACACATTTTTTTTTGAGAGAACCATGAAACTACTGAGCCGGTCAACCGGAAAACATACATTCGTGCGATACTCTTCGATGTCTCTTACGCGTTTGATCGAGTGTGTCTTGAATTTCTTGTGCATTATATGAAAACATTGCTTCCAGAAAACTCTGATAAGTAACTGGAGACGTACCTCTACAACAGAGTATTGGCAGTAAGATGCAATGCAACAGCATCTGTCTAGTACAAGATCGAAGCTAAAGTTAGGCAAGCTAGTGCATTGGGGGCTATTCTGTTTGTCCTATACACTGCGAATACCCCACCGCGATTCTGAGCATCTCGGTAGAAGTGGCTTGCAGACTGGCGAATCAAAATTAACGAACAAAAGTGCAAAAATACAACGTTTACTTTAAACAGACAATCGTACCCCCCTACATTGCTACCCCAAGAAAACATCGATCAAAGTACCACATTTTTTATTTTTATGCACTTTTTACGGCTTAATAACATTTAAACCAATTGTAGCCCTAAGCCATAATTTATCTGAAATGGTTCTTCACGGGGTTAGGGGGGGAGAAATAGCTAGATTGTTACAGATTGATTGTTGTACTGTCGCTGTCATTAAAAGCCAGGGATATTTGTTAGTGATGAGTGATCCAGTTTTATGGCAAATTTTTTTGGTTAGTTGATTTAAAATTAAAGGCAAAGCCTCCTCAGTGATAGATCGCACAGGATGTTTTAAGGGATTGCTTAACAACTTCCTAATGGTTTTGACTTTCTCTGGACTAAAGGCAAGTACTTTTAGTTTGGTAGCGAGATCGATGAGACCCCGAGCAGCTATGCTTGCCGCTTGTACCAGTAACCTCGAATAATGTTTCTAATCCGTTGAGAGGGCTGCTGCATCCTCTTTCTGGCCTCATGTGCCTTTTAAAGAAAATGTAATTTTGGAAGTCCATCCTATTTCCTTTTCGGGTCTACTTTTTTTCGTTTCCAATTAAATTCAAGAGTAATTGTCCATCCATACTGAACTTCTCCATTTTTCTATTGCAATTTTGGCAAAGTATCGAACAATTTACGGAAAACATTCGCATTTTCTCCTTTAAACGAGATTCATTAATTTGAAGAATACTGTCGAGAATGTGCTCACAAATAAAAGCAAGTACGGCGCTCAGTTTGTCACGGCCGTACGTTTGTTGCGCCACACCTCTAACAGGGCCGCATTGCCAATCGAGAAGTTGTTATAAATGAGAAGTTCATATAAATGAATATCCATTTCAAATTAAATGGATCTACATCTTGACGTTTAAGAGATATTTATTTTAGTTTTCACTAAAAAATTTGGGTCAACGGATACACGTGTTGTTCGCTTGCAGCAGCTGAGTTTGACAGCTGTTATATTAAAAGTGGTCTGTTAAGTTAACATTTCCGTTTTGGAAAATAACAGTTTGATCTACTCTTAATTCGATAACATCCACTTCTCGCATTTTTGAATACTTGTAATACTTAAGCCTAGTACTCAGATCTGCTAAGACTTTCACTAGATGAAAAATCGTATTCTTTGTAGTGTGACTTAAGTTTTTAAAGTTCACACGCAATGCATGTAGCATGGTCTTACTGTCAACCAGATGGGTCTGTTGACAAACGGAAAACAATTCAATGCAGCTTTAATTTTATATTTTCAACCCGCTTTTGCACGAACACCCCCAAAGATTACATTTCTTATTCTTTGGGCCGCGGCTAACGGTGTTCATTGAATTTCACTCGCTAAAGCCTACTACTCACATCGACAAAAACAGTGAGCAAAAGGCAAGTACGCGGCTAACGATTTTCGTCGGGTCTGTTTTTCAGCGCGGTTCTCAGATGGGCTAAGGAAATACTAAAAAAAAAAGATTTAGCGAGTGAACTTCGATTGACGCCGTTAGCCGCGGCCCAAAGAATAAGAAATTTAATCTTTAGCGGTGAGTGGAAAAAAAGTAGGTTCTGTCCAAAATAACTTTGTTACGTTGTACTAATAACCACCTGTAATGCAATCTGCGAAGAGCTCTCCATTAATGAATCGCTGGACTCCACCACCAACAGCCACTTGGCAGCTAAAGCGGAGATTAAGGATGGACGCCCGCTGAGGGCAGTTGGGGGAGCCATTACCAGCCATTGCCAGGATGCTGGGATACTAGTCTTCCAACGGCTCGGAACTAGACATCGCTTTTCTGATGCTTTAACAGGCAATCATCGATGTAACATCGAAAAAACATCGATGTTTCTGCACCTTTACTCTAAACCCAGAAACTGATCTCATCTTGATAAGATGAATAAATATTGCTAGCCTCTTTTTTAAGGATATGACCAACCTCCAGTTTAAGTCCTTCATGGCAAGAAATGTCACCTGTACACAACGTACATTATTTATCTAAAGAAAAAGCTATTTGAATGCGCATACACTTCCCAAAATTGTTGCATAAAAACGGATACTCATACAGTCAGAAACGTTTGTGAGAAAGGTTTTACAAAGGCTTAAAAACGTCCAAATGGTTGAATCTTGTGAAAATTCTTGTGGCGTCATTGTTGACCCAAAATAGTCCCTATTCTATTTTCACTACGCTGGCCTAAATGGTAATGTCATCATTGATAAGTTTACTAATAGCAATGAAATAATCATTGGACGCTGAAAACATTCCACATGCTAGCCTTCAAATTGTGTTTAGTTTTGCGATGTTTAGCATTTTTTTCGAAGCAACTGATTTTGCACGTCTAAGATACACGCGTGAAAGAGAAAGCAATATGTATAATTATACCTGGATCTAGCGAATAAGCCAAACAATGTCGTGAAATAACACCTTTACAAGTATTGATACAAATTGCAAGCTTTTTATGACTAATGTGACTCATACCAACACCGATTTTAAGACAAGCTTAGTGACACAAAAATGACCTAGAATTACAATATAATATTTGTATCGTTTTATTTTGTTACGATTTAATGTACAGAATATTTTACAATAAAAGTTTTTCCTGAATGAATTATTTATTTCATTTTTGATTTATTAAACACCAACCATGCGTAGACAACTTCAAGATATTTGAAATGATATTAATTACTGATTTAAGCATGTCGTTTATACATTTTTTCGTTTTCAAAAGTATTCTATTGTCTGTTCTTAAAATTCTAAATTATTGTCTCGGAACTTACACTTACATTTTCTATGTATTTAATACAAGCACTACAACATGTAGAAGTGTAATATCAATATTGCATGCGTTAACCAGCACACATATACACAATATCTTAAATCTTTTATTTTATTTCAGGTGTTGGAAACCCAATGTACATTACAATATATATATTTGTTAATTTTTTTATCAGTTCATGAGTTCATTCTTTTATATTGTATGTCGAGTTCTGCTAAGACCGTTGTAACTAAGCTGGTAATTTTTCTAGTAACAGCACCTATTTTAATTTTGGAAAGCATACTTCATTTAAAGATTAGCAAAGAAATTCAGATTTTAAAATAATGTTAAATTATCATTTCCTAATTCAGGGGGTCAAACTGCATCAGAAAATAATACTAATCCCATTAGCGGCACCTTTTAAACCAGTATATGTAATAGAATGATTATCAGAGAAGATTTGTACTTGCGAAATTAAAATAAAAAACCTCCAAGTCGTAAATTTTTTTAAAATGTCGTAGTTTACTGGAAAATGGTAAAATAAAATGTATTTATTTAGATTAATGACCAAAAAGGTTTGGCCTTTAGGTTTAACTTGCCTTTGATATGTTGTGCTGGTGAACGCGGGCATTCTGTACGATTAATAATAAGTTATTACTATGAATAAGGTGAGTATAATTAAGGTTTTGGACTTGAACACCAGGTGATTTTAGATTGATCAAAGCTTTCAGTGGTACGCAGTTTTGATCTAGGTAACGTTTCACCAAGTATTATCATATTACACAAGTTATTTTCTATTATACTCTTTATATACATATGCAATAGTTTATAATAGGCCAATACAGTGCATTTTTTTATTAAAAGTTTGTATAATAGTTCGATATGTTAAATTTTACATGCATTTTTGCATAGATCATTTCTAGTAAGCTAGCTTAAACCACTCAGCTAAACTAAAATCGAAAATTCAAAAACTTTGAATAAATATAGGGATTAGCATATATTTGCAGCGATCTCCAAGTTACAGACATTGGAGTTACATAAGTTTTACTCTAAATTATTTTTAACGATTGTTGGCACGTGCTTAAAAAGGATATTTATGTAAAAATGGATATCTATATTATGGGCACAAAGCCGAACCAACGATCCAAAACTGAATATTTTTGTGAATGTATGTATTTGGTTTCATTAGTTTAGTGCTGATTGTATTGCATTCGTCGGTTAACGTACTTTAAGTAAATAAGTACAAAAGTCTAAATAAGATTAATTTTATTGACATCCCGTTTTGGTTTCAGGCCGAAAATATGTTTTTATTATTTCTTTATGTATCTGGAAAGTAATGTCTACTTATAGATCGTGATATGTTTTCAGTTAATGATTAGTAAACTTTAACTTTTAAGTAGGTACTTCCGTGAAAGTGGAATTGATTAGCATTTAAATGTTTAATATGGCTTCCGAAATTCGGAATTGATATTGACTGAATAGCCCATAATATCTTATTTGCAATTGATTGTTATTGGTTGGAAGCATTTTGTTAGTTGAATTCCAAACGTAACATTATCTAGGTACGTAAACATGTTATCTCTCGAAAAATATATGTATGCTATCTGACAAGAGTTTTTACACTGTGCTATTTTGCACTTTTCATAAAAACCTATCAGATATCGGTAGGTCTGCTCGAAATATGGTGTGCATCCTTATAACTTGTTGTATTAACTGAAAATATTACATGAAATGGCTGACAATATTAAAAGCCTGGTGAATTTTAAAATCTGGGCTAAACAGTGCAAAAATTGAAACTTTAACATTTGATACGCACGTCAGGCTTTATAATTTAAAGGGCTATATGTATATAAAAAACATATGAACTAAAAAATGCATTTAAATATTAAGCCTTCGGTTTTCTGAAATAGATAGTTCAATGTATTTAGTTGTGTTATTATTATAATTCTTTTGCAGGTATATAGAGAACGATAATGGCGCACGAACTAAATACTTGACCAAGCCCTCAATTTTCTAATATGTGAAAAGTTTTTTAAGACTTCTCTAAATTTTTTGCATAGTATTGACAATGAGGTTTAACTATTAACTAATTTACTGATTTACATTGACATCCAGTAGATACTGGACTTTTTATATTACAATAAAACCAATTTGAATAGCTTCAATTTAAATTCCTCGTAAATTAAAAAGTTTTGAAAAAGCCTTTAGTGGTAATAATGTCATGTGACATTGATTAACATTCAAATGTATTTACAATTTGGATTTAAATTTACTTTGATGAATATCAATTAAAAATAAAGAGACTAAATTTTTCCACAAACATTTTCAGGTCTCATTAGGTACAACAGATTCTTTAATAATAATCGTAATCGTATGATCCCAACTCAAATTCATCAGTTTCTGGTTTTTGTTCATTCAACATTTTTAGGTTATCATTATTCTCTAAAGATGTAAAATAATTGTTATCCTTTTGCTTACTGTAATGTCCGAGTACATCAAGTTGACGGCCTAACGTATTTCCAATAGATGTAAATTTACTTTGGTCAATTTCCTGTGAAGACTTTTTAAAAGGCCATGCCGTTAGTCCTCTAAGAATGCGATGGAAGTGGTCGTTAGGTTGCGGCTTTAATGTAGAACAATAAAAGACATTAGCTATGTACAATGTGCAACTTTGCGATTAGCAACTTTAAGATAAAAAGCAACTTGATGTTTTGATTAAAATAATTTATAATCTCTTTAACTCGCAATCCGATTACAATTTTACTGTATGTTCTTCTGCGTTATTGTAGGCATGTACTTAAATAACTAAATGGCACAACAACATTTTTGAAAAAGTGCATATGGGAATTCAAATTAATTAATAGCTTTACTTAATATTCATTTTTCCCCAATGTCCCTGACAGCTCAACCATTCTTAATTTTTACTTTTACACTTTCTTAAACTTCGGTACAAAAATTTTTGTTAGATTCGTTACCTAGTTTGCTGCAAGTGAGAGTAGTAAAGTAGTAGTAAAATCCTTACGTTTTGGTAATCCTTCAGGCCTAATCATAACTTAAATTGGAAATATTTGATATTGTAACGAATATAAACATATATTAGATAACATTTCACAACTTTCTTTTTGTTTACATTCTGTAATTCCTGGATTTACACACCTGCATCAAACTGGGTAACAAATCTAAAACCCATTTTTGTACACAATTTTCGTTATGTGTATTTTTAATTAACATATTACTGAAGCTCACGTAATGACGAAAAGGCCATGCCATCACCTACAGTGAGGGTCTGATCGTACCTTAAAATATAGTATTGGAAAAAAACCTGCTAGTTTGGCGGGAAAACAACTCTAAATAGCAAGCTGCAGGTTTATGAAAGTCATCTAGGTCTACTAAAATGAAACCCGCATAACTTGAACCTAATAAAAGAACTTTAATTTTAATTTAAAGAGTCAAGAATTTTAAAATTGTTTAATTCTTAATTATTTAATTATTTACCTCATTTAGAAGGGATCGATTTCGCTCTCTGAAGTGGGATTTTCGTATTGGGTATGTCCTCGGAATACCAATGACTGAATGATCTCTTTCGGTGGAATCACTTGAAAAAAGCTCAGTTGATGGAATTTTTATGCGGGCGGCGCGATTATTTCCAGGAAATAATGTTTTATGTTCCTTATTAGCTAGACTTTCTTTTTTATTGTAAGAAGCGGAATTGCCAATGCGTCGTGTGGTTGCTCTGGCGCCAGTCCTATGTCTATTTTTATTACTTTTGTCGCTCCGAAAGTTTTGCTCATTTAGAATTGACATGCGATTAACGTCACTATATTGGTAACTATTTCCATCAGGGCTTCGATTTTCATCCATTAATATGGAATCAGATGGGCTAGCGGCTTGAGGATTATAATTCGATAGAACGCTGTTGATGTAAATTATTTAAATTAAGTATGTATAATTGTTTTATTTAATTTTAAAATTATAGTTACTTTTTCCCGTTAGCAATTTCTTTAAGGGCTGCAGCACGTGCAGCCAACTCCTCATCTCTACGTTGCTCTGTTAATTCCTTAGCTCTCTCAGTCCATATTAACTCTTTGAGCTTTTGAAAACTGCCTTGTATAGCAACTGAGTTTTGACTTTCTTTTGCATTATTGCCGGTACCATTTGGGACTCCCATATATCGATTTTTACTTGATCTGCGTGATGAGGAAGAAGCACCGTTTTGTGGTCGCGATTCAGCTCCGTAATACCGAGTTTGACTTGAACCTGGTCCAAGTTCAACCAATCTTTGATGGTGTTCAAATGGAACGCGTTGTGGTGCATTTGGCTCTCGGTTGACAACACGGCCAAATACGGGCGACCTGGCTCTTTCTCTCGCGCTCATTCTCAGCCTAACAACATTTAAAGGAGAAGAAAGAGAGGATATATACATATTCAGATAAGTAAAAGTATGAAATAGGTAACAAGAAACAAACGTTCGCCTTTCTGATTTCGCAGATTAAAAATACATACGTTTTATTAGTTTGGAAGAAGAGTACTTTTGTTAGTTAGCTTTAATGAAATTTTATTTAGAATGTAAAACCGCTACTTATTTTTATCTCATTCACTCTAACGCCCACAAACGACTAAAAAACAAACCCCTGTAGCGCCCACATTTTTTTTTTTTAATATTTTGTAAAAATTTAAAAGAGGTTTTGTTCTTCTACCCATTTACAAATATTGAAATCGGACCAATAACTAAAGTTATCACCGAATAGGGTCGCTATAGGCTAGTTGGCGCTAGAGGCTAGGTGGCGCTATAAAAGAAGAAGACAAGGGGCTCTATAGGCTAGGTGTGCTAGTGAACAAAGCAGAGCTGCATTAGGCATAATTCCGTCCCTCTCGCAATCCATTTAGCTGAGTAACGGGTACCTAATAATCGAGGCCATCGACTATAGCGTTTTCTCTTATTATACCCGTTACTCGTAGAGCAAAAGGGTATTCTAGGTCCGTCGGAAAGTATGTGACAGGTAAAGGAATCGTTTCCGACCCCGTAAAGTATATATATTTTTGATCAGGATCACTTGCCGAGTTGATCTAGCCATGTCCGTCTGTCCGTATGAACTCCGTGATCTCGGAAACTTTAAAATGGCAGCTGGGATTAGGCATGCAGATTTTAGAGATTCCTGCGCAGCGCAAGTTTGTATCGTCAGCGTTCCACGTCCACTCTACCACGATACCACGATTTATCACTTTTTTTCGTCCATACAAATTGATCCGGCGTTAGACTCCCATGTTCAAATTCAAATTTTTTAAATTGTTATATGTGACAGGTAAAGGAAAGCTTTGCAAATCGATACTAAGAATATGGGAAAAAACTAATTTAATTTATTTAATTTAAATATATTTAATTTTAAAAAACCAAACCAGCTATTTTGAAATAAGTGAAAGTGAATTGAGTTCTTCCTAATACCCTCCAATAATATTATTGATTTGCTTATAAAAAAACACCTATTTACCCAGTTACAAAACCTATAAACAGCTATTAGTCTTAAATTCGTCATTTTCATGGAAAATTCGTTTAAAATTATTAGCGTTTAATCATAGACATTTTTAGTTAACCAGGGTCAAGTCCAGTTCTTAAAAACACTTACGATCCGAGCATTCGTGAGTTCAATAAAAGCGGTTCCCAAACATTATAAGTAAAGGGGTCCCGGTACGTTGGTATTTCATTCGTGATTTCTGCAGCTCGGGATTGCCTTTTTGAAAATCTATGAAGCACAAGAAAAGTTTAAACTTATTATATTTTCTGGAAAATTCCATTTTTGAACAACTTACATCCACATGGCACGAAGCTGTTCGCATGTTGGCTCCTGTGAGTTGAGGGAAAATGTTTTTGGCACAAATACTTCCCCAACTGTCCTTACACCGCCGGAATTTACGATATGTGCTGATTCTTCAGATTTAGCTCCGTTGTTATTGTTTAAATTTCTTTCTCGACTGCGAGCACCTAGATAGTTGGCATTTCCAAGCCTAATAGTTGCCAGAATTACCAATATATCAAATTGTATATATTTGATCTGCAAAGATATTTTTTTTAAATTATATATTTTAAGTTAAAACTACTACAACTTTAGTTGCACATCTAAACATTTTGTATTGTATTTTTAATACCGAAACTTAATTGATAACCACATTTTAATGTCCATCTTTTTGTTACCCAGCTGTCAAAGAGATAGACGGACAAACGGAAATTTGTTCCTTCTACCTGTTACATACTTTCTGACAGATACAATATACCCTTTTACTTACAGCGCAAGTTTGTTTAAAAGCAAAGTGACACTCCCACAACTGTGGCTCCTACAGTTTTATCGCTAGAATAAGGAATTTAACTAAAATGAATTGGTTTCATCAATCTACGGATCGTCCTAAAAAAATATTGCCCCGCCAACTCACCTAACGCATATACCTGTGAAACTATAAAAGCTAAAATTTTGGGATTAAGCATCCAGAATCTACTGATGCCTACACAGCCCAAGTTTATTTTTGTATCAAAAACACACTAAACCGTTACAATAATCTAAAGGCAGGCCGAAATAACAAATGCAAGTGGGCATTAGAAAAACTCATACTTTTAAGGGAGGATCTTCTGTAAGGTAGATCTTACAATTTAATTACCTTATACGCTTAAGGGATAAAATGTGATATCACTTGTTGTTGGGGTCAGGGGAAATCTATGGAGATGCTTGGATTGACAATAGGTAAACATTTTTTCCCGACCAATAAAATCTTCTTTATCAGCTTCAAAAGTTGAAAGCACACATTTCCGACGAGGATGATATAATTTTTGCACGTATAATAATAAGAAACAAGAAAGGAAGTTAACTTCGGCAAGTCGAAGTTTGTATTCCCTTGCAGTTATAATTATTAAATTGAAAAATACAAAAAATGATATTCCCAATAGTATAAGATAATATGTCAAAAAACACCGAAGCTATAATTTGTTTCACATTATTTTTCCACTAATTTTTCGATCGTTCCTATGGCAGCTATATGATATAGTCGTCCGATTTTGATAAAATTTAATTTGAAATTCAAAACTAATTAAAAAATGTTATTTCCAAGCTTAAGAGGTTATGTGTTAAAAAACACCAAAGGTATAATTTTTTCTAATTTTTTTCCCGATTATTCCTATGGGAGCTTTAAGATATAGTTGTCCGATCCGGCTGGTTCCGACTTATATACTACCTGCAAAAGAAATAAGACTTTTGGGAAAGTTTCAGCCCGATAGCTTTAAAACTGAGAGACTAGGAAACTGCGTTGCAAACATCACATAACGTAAAACCTAGGTGGCGCTAGTAAAATTTCGTATGATACCGATTTTCTGAATGATTATATTGAGTTTGCAGTTTTTTGAATAATTCATTATTGTTTGGTTATAACATCTTAATGAATGGTCCGATTTGCGATTGGTCCGCATTGTAGCGATCCTACATATCCTACATACTTTCCGACTTAAAAATCCAGTTCATAAAACAATTTGTAAGCATGGTGGTATTACGTTATACGGCCAGTACTCTGAATAAAAGGCACTGGTCATGATAATACATTTCATGGGCAATAGGCATTTGTATATGAAAAATATACATATAATATTTAAACATCCACTTAACAGCTCTTGATTTAAATACGTACCAATATGCGTCTGCAATGCATTTTCGTGTTGTTATTTTAGAATTCCAGAATGGTCACCAAATGTATTATCGCTTCTCTTATTTGCATTGGAGTGTAATTTATTTTAGTGCGTGGTATTCTCTGTCATTTAAAAATCAAATGTTGATACGATATAATTATATTTCATAGAAATATAGTTAATTGAACATAAATCATGCAAACACAGGAAAATTACAATATAAACTAATCCAAATAGATGGATAATTTCTATTAAGTATTTGATAATTTGTATGCTGCCTGTTAAAAGTTCTGTAGCTATAGTTTGCTAATTAACTTAAAACTGATTACACAACTAATTAAACTTCTTTAAACTAACTAAATCCCTAAGCTATTGAGGCGTATTTGGGTACACTTTAAATTAATTGTGGCTTTAAAAATATTTTCAGTTTCTCCGCGATGGCTAAATTCACATGTACCCTTAAGTTTAAATGCTTAATTTACATTTTTTGACAACTTTGACTAACATATTTAAATAAAGTTCGTACAAACATTTGATTAATTCTTGTTTAATTTAAAATAATAAGGTTGTATTACAGTTTATAGCTACAACCTACTTCCCAATTTTAAAGAATCAACATCTGGTAAGCAATGTGCGTGTCCTACCAGAATGCGCTATCTTTTACACATTTTTTAGATATAAAGATATTTTTTATTTTTTACCGTGACTAGTTAAAACGTAACAGTTCTACGAAGCCAGCATTACAACTATATAAGAGAAAAATACGAACATTTACTGAACCTTCTATACAAACTTCGAGTAATAGGGGAGAGGTCTGTAAGTTGGGAAAATCAACTTTCTGAGATCTTTTCAAGTAAAAACACGGAAAACGCTATGGTCGAGTGCCTCGACTATCGGATACCCGTTACTCAGCTAAACATTTTTTTTAAGTCAATCGACAGGTACTGACGAGAACTACACATTTTAGTTTAAAATTGTCTAGCACTTAAACTGTGGGAACCACCGTTTTGGGCGGTTTGTGACAAACTTGAGTCTTAGTTTCCGAGCTCACAACGTTCACACGGACATACGGACATGGCTAGATCGACTGTGCTCGTGATGCTGGCCAGAGACGCTCCCTTCTACCTGTTATATACTTTTACTCTGCGAGTAACGAGTACAAATATATTTTTTTATATGTATAACGGGCTATAAGTATAATTTTTTAAAATTATATTTACATTTTAGAAGTGCTATTAAAAAAAACAATATCGTGCTAAAATGAAATCGGACATAAGTTACAAACTTTAATTAATGGTTAAACGCCTAGCTTATAATACAACTTTTTACTTTTTCCTTAAAAAGCACATTACGTCTAGGTAGTGACAGTCGACAAAAGTCTCGTTCAGAAAAATGCATTTCTTTGAAATTTGCGGAAATGTGACTTGAAATTTAAAAAAAAACTGTTACAACTAATGTGAATCAAAAGAAAAAGTGTCCCAGCCTACAGATGTCCCTCCAAATTATTCAAAAATTATACCGAAGATACTTAAATACTTTTTTTTTAAAACGATTTGCAAATTTTAGGAAGGCAAATGAACGTTTTAGATATTTTAACATTTTTTCAACGGGCGAGAAACAAGTTACAACTAATGTGAATCAAAAGAAAAAGTGTCCCAGCCTACAGATGTCTCTCCAAATTATTCAAAAATTATACCGTAGATACTTAAATATTTTTTTTAAAAATGATTTGGAAATTTTTGGAAGGCAGATGAACGTTTTAGATATTTTAACATTTAGATATGAATAAAATTTCTTTTTAAATGCCAAAAGAATACCATATTTTACCCTTAAAGAAATTTGACTTTGACTTTGAAGAAATATGCACATAGTTAAAATTGCAACTTATAACCAATGTTGGATATTGCAAATTTTTAACTTGGTTACTCATAACTGATGGCATTAGGGTCGAAAACTACATCCTTCCTTTTTGATAATCAATATTTACCTTAGACTGATAGATTAAAGTCTTTTTAAAAAAAATTGGCTGCCACACAGATTAGATTCTTAGCTCTTATACAGGGGTTCCACAGAAATGAATTCAGCGCTAAGACGTGTAAAATGTACATAAGAAACTTACGATGAATAGGCGCTCGGCGAAATCTGTCGCACGCCCGATAGTTTTCAACATCTCAACATTTATACAGGAGGACGTAACAAACAAATGAACATGTCTTGATCGACTCGGATAGCGACCTGATCAAGAATTTATTTTTTTTGTAAGGTCAGAAATGGTTAATTTTGCCTGTTTTCAACGAATACCATATACAGTTTTATTCTATGCTTAACGGGTGTAAAAACAGCAATCAGCTTAAAATATTTAACAAACAGTCAATAAATTTCGTTGATTTTTGTCCTTTTTGTTTTCTAAACCATCTATATATATTTCTGACAACTACCTTGTGGGATAAAATCAAATTTAGGGCTTACAAAATTTTAGCAGTTATATACATTTAATTGCATAGTAATTTCTTTTGAAATTAAATTTATTTATGTGCATTTTAAAGTGCAGGTGCGGTGCTCAGAAAAGAATTGTTATAGTGCAATTAGCTTGAAAATTGTGCAAATGCTCGTATTTAAGCATAAATGTTCATTTACTTTTTCCGGATTTTTTTGTATATTCCAATTATGCAATTACGCATTTTAAAAAAGATGCGTTTCTTCGGCCAAGAACAAAAAAAACGAATGCACTTTTGATGCCAAGTTTTATAGAAGATCCATGTGTCAGATCTCATCCTGCTGAAAAATACCGTTTTTTTAAAATAACTTAAGTGGATACATACAAAATATTAGGTGTTGGTCTGTAAACGAAGGGGACTTTTACACGATTTGAATGACAATAAATGTATTTACCTTTACTTTTAATTTCCTTTAACGCCGCTCCAACTAGTACTTTAACTTTGATGAGTGTTTTTGTGTACGAGTGAATGGCATTGATTGTTTATGATTCTAAAACAATTATTTTTTTAAATAATTTGTACAAGCTTTTCAATATTTAAGAACTTTACGAAGACTGTATAAGTATTTTATGAATGAAACGAATAGCGTATGCTTTTGTGCTTATATATACCGTTTTCTTAAGAAAATAACATATTAAGTCATGCGCAGAAAAATATTTACGACACTGTTAAAGCTTCATTGAAGCTGAAAAAAGCACTTACAAATTGTTATTTGAAAATTGTACTGCTGTAAATTGTATTTGGAACAACAAAGTAAATATAAATTTAAAATTGGTTTTGATATGATTAAAAAATTATAAGATATTAAATAAAAATTTAACTCACTTAGTCCTCGGAATATTAAATACAAATTAAATTTAAACATTCCCTGTAACACTCAACGAGCGCG